TTGCTGTAAAATACCATGAAATGTAAGGTAATCTAAAAACATCTAAAGACGCTGGGGAGTGCACAGCTGCGTAGTAGATCATAGCTTGGTGGCGAGTGAAAGCTAGAACAATAGGCCAAGAATGTCTGGAAACCCAAATGAAACATGTAAGCTATGGAAGGGGCAGGTGAAAAGCTTGCTGTAAAATACGGCTAGATGCAATGCACAAACCAGAAGCAGAGAGGAAAAGAAGCTCTGAGAATGTTTGGCATGTCATTTGCAGGCTGTTTGCATACTTCGACATACGTCAGATTGTTTTTTTTGCATTTTTCCTGTGACAAAGGAAAAATGTAAGCTTACATTTTTGAGGTCCAAAAAACAAAATGTAAGCTTACATTTTTGAGGTCCGAAAACATGGGAAAATGTAAGTGACATTTTTGGACGTCCCCCCCTCTTAATTTGCGGCGATGTTCCGGGACACTCTTGTGGGACACTCATACGGGACACTCTTGTGGGACACTCTTGTAGGACACTCTGGTGGGACACTCTGGTGGGACACTCTTGCGGGACACTCTTGTAGGAAACTCTTGTGGGACACTCTTGTGGGACACTCTTGCGGGACACTCTTGTAGGAAACTCTTGTCGGATACTCTTGTAGGACACTCTTGTGGGACACTCTTGTGGGACACTCTTGTGGGACACTCTTGTAGGAAACTCTTGTGGGACACTCTTACGGGACACTCTTGTGGGACACTCTTGTAGGACACTCTTGTGGGACACTCTTGTGAGACACTCTTGTGGGACACTGTTGCGGGACACTCTTGTGGGACACTCTTGTGGGACACTCTTGTAGGACACTCTTGCGGGACACTCTTGTGGGACACTCTTGTCGGAAACTCTTGTGGGATACTCTTGTAGGACACTCTTGTGGGACGCTCTTGTAGGACACTCTTGTGGGACACTCTTGTAGGGAACTCTTGTGGGACACTCTTGTGGGACACTCTTGTAGGAAACTCTTGTGGGGCACTCTTATGGGACACTCTTGTAGGGCACTCTTGTGGGACACTCTTGTAAGACACTCTTGTGGGACACTCTTGTGGGACACTCTTATAGGACACTCTTGTAGGACACTCTTGTGGGACACTCTTGTAGGACACTCTTGTGGGACACTCTTACGGGACACACTTGTAGGACACTCTTGTGGGTCACTCTTATGGGACACTCTTGTCGGACACTTTTGTGGGACACACTTGTGAGACACTCTTATGGGACACTCGTGTGGGACACTCATATGGGACACTCTTGTGGGACACTCTTGTAGGACGCTCTTGTGGGACTTTTGTGGGAGACTCTTGCGGGACACTCTTGTAGGAAACTCTTGTGGGATACTCTTGTAGGACACTCTTGTGGGACACTCTTGTAGGACACTCTTGTGGGACACTCCTGTAGGATACTCTTGTAAAACACCCTTGTGGGACACTCTTGTAGGAAACTCTTGTGGGACACTCTTGTAGGACACTCTTGTGGGACACTCTTATAGGACATTCTTGCGGGACACTCTTAAGGGACACTCTTGTGGGACACTCTTGTACGAAACTCTTGTGGGATACTCTTGTAGGACACTCTTGTGGGACACTCTTGTAGGACATTCTTGTGGGACACTCTTGTAGGGCACTCTTCGTTCGAGACTTCCCCCAAAAGTCACATGTCAAGTCTCCCAAACGAGCGTTTCGTACGAGACTTCCCCCC